GGCACTCTGGTCCCAGTAATTGAATAATAAGATTCCTTAGATGCAGATAAAAGGTTTAGAGGTAATTACTGCAGTCTAAATTCTCCCTCCCTGCAGCCTTGTGGGTGTGTTTCTCTATGTGTGTGTGCGTTCCTCAGGGATGTTATATGCACTTTGATTTTTATTGTCTCCCTAGTCTGGAGGCATACTGTGGTATTTATGGGGAAAAAAACCATTGGTGAAAACATTTTAATTGGAAGCTCAAATGTAGCCGGCACATGTGACAAGATGTTTAAAACAAGCTGGCAAGAAAAAGTGACAGTGAATGAGACCTTGAAGGGAGTGAAAAGCAGTGTGGAGGTGGCTGCAGAGCAAGAGAGAAATCTTTGATGTATGCAGTTGCACTTGTGAATACAAAGAGACAGGGAGACAGTGATGGGTGGAGGCCTGAGTGGCTAGCTTTTGTCCTTGACTTTTTAAGTACAGGGATGCAGCACTCTACATCAATATATGTCTGTCAATGCACTGTAAATGGCCATTACATATATTTGAATCTAATTTATAAAGTATAGAGTAATGGGCCCCAAAGAAAAGCAATCAGGGGCATGTTTCATGTAGAGTAGCTGAAGCAAACACTGCATACTTACAGTCCTCCCAAATATTTATTTTAATACACTTTCCACACCTAGCTGGATTGAAAATGTCTTCAAGATGTGTTAAGTACACAGTGTGCCGACGATCTCAAATATTTACTTATCTAAGCCATACACACCGTTACTATTTATCTGGTGCAAAGTATAGTTGTGTGTTTGTGTAAATGTTTTTATAATTAAGAGCATGATTATTGACATGTAGGGTGTGAGAACTTTTCTCCATGAGCGTTTTACGTCAGTTTAGGCCTACAAGACAACCCCATTATTGACATGATGGGAGAGGTGATGTTTTATCTCACAGCTGTCGAACTGTTTTTTCAAGTGTTAATCCTTGACAATATCGCGAGGAAAGATGGCATTTGACGCTTTATCTTGCTGACATTTTGGATGCAGTTGCCATTCAACACATCCATGTTCTATAAACACTTCCTTTAAGTTTTCACGGTGGCATTTCACAGTTCCATAGGAAACAGAGAGGGAAATATGCATGCACACACAGAAAATTGTGACATTTTGGAAGAATAGAGCTGACATGCACAACACTAGTCGGGGTGGCATATTTCTCAAATATCTGTCATCTTTTTAAACTATACTCCCATTGGACAGTTTTTCTCAAAAATACATTGGATTATCGTCTGAATAAAGCGCTGACACTTTTAAGGTGATAAATGTGGACTTGAATATCCTGGAAAACTGTCATTTCCACTGGTGGAGGTGGAAGTATTCAGATTCATTTAAATAAAAGTAGCATTAGCTACTAATAAGTTCTGCACT